GGAATAGCTATCCCAGAATAAAGCACTTTATGCCAGGATACACTGCACCCACATTAGGGTGGTTTTACTGTGTTAACATCAGTACAGTTATGAGCACAGCCCAGCCTCCCCTGCCAGTCTTGTCTGTGCTGCTGTAAGCCTGGAGGTGTGGGGAAGTGCTGCTATTTCTGGCCAGAGCTGGAGTGAGCAGATGCATAACACACTAGAGAACACCAAGGACCAACACAATGGCAACAAGACTCTGGCGAACAAGCTTAAATAAAGTCGGCTTTAATCCTCCTCCTGGTTCACTCACGTCCATCAAGAACCAGTGCAGGTGACAGATGAGCCTGGCAGAGCATAACCCGAGGAGAGCAAAACCCTGAGCTACAGTCAGCTGAGACAGTTTCTGTCCTTCTGACCTGTGCTCCATCCTCTTTGGAAATCTGTGCCCTCATAGACATTTCCTTGGCACCCGTCTCCTTAGCATCTCATCTCCTTTCCACCAAAGCACCTATAGTGACAGCTGTATCTGTCCAGGGTGAAGAGAAGGAGGTGATTCTGCTGGAGCAGGAGAAGGACCTGATCACATAAACCAATGTCCAAACAAGCACTACAAGAATAATACTACACAGCAGCTCCGATGGATCCCCGCAGCCAGGCAGCCTCCTGGGAACAGTTGGGCCCTGCACAATTCAGACTCGCCCTGCCCATCCAGGCAGACTCCACAAGGAGGTAGGGTGTGAGAAGTAGTAGCCTGCAAAGGTCAAGTCCAAAAGTATCACTGCTCAGCAGAGAGATCTTGCAGGCATCTGGAGAGCCCAGCATGGTCCTTGGTGCAAAGTCTTGCTGTGGCATGTCCCTGTGAATGGAGGCGATGCACCGAGGCCCATACCCGCTTTTGGTCAGTGACTGCAGCTGCACCTCTCAGCTGGGAACCAGTGGAGTCTGCTGCTGGGCAGAGTGGCCCACAATGCTCCCTTTGTCAGGCTCAAGGAACAGGAAGCCTCCCTGGGAAAGGAAGTGAGAGCCCTGTGTTATTGATGCAGGCAGGGGTAATCACTGCCTGCAAGGGACAGACAGCCCAGCTCCTGTTGCTAGTGCAGTGACACTCAACACTCACTGGCCCGTGTCCCACAGGAAGCCGATTCCCCTTGTGCCCCTGCCAGACGGTTGGGCTGTGGCTCTCCCTCCTGCTACCTCTGCAGAGGCTGCTGACTATATGAAGAGGGTGTTGTGAATGGCCCTGGGGACTGAGCTACCTTCTCCTCCCAAAAAGGTCCATCCAGTTCAGGCTGAGGCCTGGTGCTGGGACTGGCACGGAAGAGGCTGGCTGTGATAGTGGAGAGGGGCTCTCTAATCCTAAATACATGGTCACCACCTGCAGCTGCTTTAAGCCAACCATTGCTAAGAAGAAGGTGGGAGTGAAGGAAACAAGCTGCCTTCTCTCTGAACTCTTCCCCCCAGAGGCAGCACATCCAGGCCAGAGGCTCCACCATCCTGCACGTCACTTGGCTCACTGGAGATGCAGACGGAGTCACTTGACACATGTGGGTGTGAAACATTATCTCTTCTGTTTCTCTGGTGCCCTTCAACCCCAAGGCTCTCAGTCCAGACCCAGGAACTTGCAGCCACCTCTGGGGAGGAGTGTGCTGGCCAGCTCACCGCAGGCCCGGGAGAAAAGGGGACCTGCTGGCTTGTTAAAACCCCAGCCCGCCTGCCTGACCTGCCACATGTTCCCTGGCAAAATAAAGCCAGGCTATTTTTTTCTTGTTTTCAACTCCTGCCCTGTTGCTTTGCTCCCAGTCCGGGCCCTCGGTGCTAAGCTCCTGCCTAGAGACTTGTTTTCTTGCCAGCACAAAAAATCCCAGACAGCAGGACTCTGTTTTGGAGCCTCTGAGAGAGGATTAACTCTAGCAATGCTGGGCCGGAGCAGAGAGAGCAGAGGCTGTTCCCAGGGCGGGTCCTCCTCCCAGCATCAGGTGCTGATCTCACACTCCTAACACAGCACAGGCCATGTGGCGCAGCCCCCTGCCATCTTAGCAGTGGGAAGAGCAGCCCGAGGCAGAAGGGCCCTTTGAGATGGAGGGGCTTTGCAGGCAACTGCTACTGAACCCCTGTGCTCCAGAGGAAATAGGGTCTATCATCCCTGTAGTGCAGATGGGAAAACTGAGGCACATAGTGTTAGTGTAACTTGCCCAAGTTCACGCAGCATAACAACAGCCACCAGGAACAGATCCCCAAGTCTGGATGCTCAGTCCCCTCCGCCCCCTACACACAGGGGTGTATAAAGCTCTTGATAATGTGACCCTCCCAGGGTTTGCCCCTGAGCCTGCACACACCCCTTCCCACAGCTGCAGCCAAAGGCAGCTTCTTGCTGGTTTACTCATCCCATTGCTGGGGGTGACAAGACATCAGAAACAAGGAGACAGGGCCCAGGCTCACCCTCTGGGTGCTCCTACACCTTTCTC